GGGGGAGAGGGGGTGGGATGGGATGGGAAGGCGCTGCCGCCCCTTCCATTGGCTGCGGGTCTCGGGCTCCCGGTTCTGATGGAGGAAATTCACCTTGATCCGTTTCTCCGTGGCCTTTCTCGGTAGCCACGGTCTCGCGGGGAAGCCTTTGGAAGTCGAATGTTGTGCTTCTCGGGAAGAAAAACTAAAAGGTTTTAAAGTACGCGCATCTGTGCAGAAGGAAGATGGTCTAGCGACTAAAACGCTGTAAAAATACCAAGATCCTTGTTTCAGAGCGCATAGAGTGTGTCATTTTAGTGTCTGTGGGGAGAATAATCCTTTGCAACAGAAGTATCCTAAAATACCTTCATTAGATCTAAATTGTCGGTTAAGACAGTGGCATAGGTAACGCTTCAAAGGATGTTGTTGGGTTTATTCAGATTACAGATCGTTTTGTTTTGATACTGAGCTGTGTTTATAGAGGATGGCTATTTGTGATCCCAGACCTGGGCTGTTGGAATTCATGGTTGTACGTAAAGCAGCCTGCTTCTAAGATTGACGTTCCTAGGAACACGGCGCCTGACTGATTTCAAAGGGGCGGAGATCTGTTCCTTTAACTTTTTATATAACCAGGGGGTCTTGGGAAACGAAAGGGATGTCTTTTGTCTTCAGCAGGTCTTAATTAAAGCCTTGGAATCCCATAGTATGTTTTGGAAATCGGCATGTTTTCCAGTAAGCTGGAAAGCTTTGCTCACAGTAAGTCGTTACTCATTTTGGATTGCTTAACCTGTTGATTTGTTTGAACAAATTGCGAGTGTAAAAGTAGAAAATGTTAAAGCTAGTCTATTGGAAACTTGTACCAGAGTGTGTAATTTCAGTGTCTGTGGGGAGAATAATCCTCTGCAACAGAAGTATCCTAAAATACCTTCATTCGATCTAAATTGTCGGTTAAGACAGTGGCATAGGTAACGCTTCAAAGGATGTTGTTGGGTTTATTCAGATTACAGATCGTTTTGTTTTGATACTGAGCTGTGTTTATAGAGGATGGCTATTTGTGATCCCAGACCTGGGCTGTTGGAATTCATGGTTGTACGTAAAGCAGCCTGCTTCTAAGATTGACGTTCCTAGGAACACGGCGCCTGACTGATTTCAAAGGGGCGGAGATCTGTTCCTTTAACTTTTTATATAACCAGGGGGTCTTGGGAAACGAAAGGGATGTCTTTTGTCTTCAGCAGGTCTTAATTAAAGCCTTGGAATCCCATAGTATGTTTTGGAAATCGGCATGTTTTCCAGTAAGCTGGAAAGCTTTGCTCACAGTAAGTCGTTACTCATTTTGGATTGCTTAACCTGTTGATTTGTTTGAACAAATTGCGAGTGTAAAAGTAGAAAAATGTTAAAACTAGTCTATTGGAAACTTGTACTCATTAGTGCTACTTTAACGTAGGGTGTTTAGACTTCCTGAATTTTTGTACCTTTTACCGCAATTTGTTGTAACAAATTAAGTTCCTCGAACAATGGAAGAGAACTAATGGTGAGCGATTAGATACTTCAGAGGGTGCTGGAAAACCTGATTTCCAGCCGCTCAGTAATTCAGCTTGTTAAATGCGACCTGTGCACCTGGTTGTTTAAAATCATGGTTAAGACTTGCTTCATTCGAACAGGATTGCAGCCTGGGGTTACAGTATTTCTTAGAAACCTGGGTGTGTAGGATACGGAACTATTGTAAAGGTAATGAGGCTTTGATAGCTTCATCCAACATAATTACAAGCAGTTAAATGTTCATATATCAGCCGTGTTCTGTTCTTCTGGTGACCTGTCCTGTCCGTATCTATCCTGCTGAATCACTGGCTTCTGGAGAAAGCCTGGGCAGCTGTTCCAGGCTGTCCGTGTTCTTGGTGTGAAGGACAGGGTGGTTTGGTCGTCCCCCCATTAGGTGCAGTGCAGTTGGAAATAATTTTTTTAGATAGCAACCTCAGGGTCGCAAGATCGCAGGTTATGTCAGCGCCGAGTGGGAGTAACATAAATATATTTGTTGAAACCACGTTAAAATGTAACAACAATGTCACCTCCCTCCTTGCAAACAGATGTGGTGCTGCTCATGTTCCAAGAAATGTTCACCATCTTCTTACCTATTAAGGAGGTGGCCCTGCCCAGGGCAGGGGGTTGGCTCTTACCTATTAAGGAGGTGGCCCTGCTCAGGGCAGGGGGTTGGAGCTCGGTGATCTTTAAGGTCCCTTCCAGCTCTAACCATTCTATGATTCTGTTATACGATGAATAGATTACAGATATGGTGATATTCTCTTAAAATGGGCCTTCTGCTTATGTCAAGATAACACGACGTACCAGGAGACCTAAAAGCACTAATTTTTTATACTGGAAATGTGTGGACTTTAGGGCCTTCTGCTTTTGTCAAGGTAACGTGACATACCAGGGGACCTAAAAGCACTAATTTTTTATACTGGAAATGTGTGGACTGGACATGCTGGTGAAACTGTTAAGACAACAGTTCAAATGATTGCATAATGTCTTATACTTTTAACTTCTGGAATGCTTATGAATCGTTATATGCCATCAACTTATTTATTGGTAATTATTAGTGAATTTATTTACTGGAATACGGTTTAGGGATTCTTTGTGAGGCAGTAATTTTTTATGTTTATTTTGTTTAATGCGATCCACTATAGCAGAAGAAAAACAGTGTAAAAATGTTCTGAAAATGCTACTTTTTTTTTTTTTTTGACATGCTGGTGAAACTGTTAAGACAACAGTTCAAATGATTGCATAATGTCTTATACTTTTAACTTCTGGACTGCTTATGAATTGTTATATGTCATAAACTTATTTATTGCTAATTATTAGTGAATTTATTTACTGGAATTCTTTGTGAGGCAGTAATTTCTTGTGTTTATTTTGTTTAATGCGATCCACTATAGACGGTTTAGGGATTCTTTGTGAGGCAGTAATTTTTTATGTTTATTTTGTTTAATGCGATCCACTATAGCAGAAGAAAAACAGTGTAAAAACGTTTTGAAAACGCTACTTTTTTTTTTTTTTATGTGCCACCTCTGTTCCCAAGAAAACACATCCTTGAGACGCTCAGGCTTTCTGTCTCTCCTTGCTGAGATACTTCATTTATAACGTCTCAGGTCCTTGAGAACAACCACAGAGAAAAATGTAGTCATATTACCTGTGTATTGGTCTATATTTCAGTTTTCATGCTCTCTCTGTGTACTAGGTCTTTTTTGGGGGAAGTGTGAATGTAGGACTTAATGCTTGCTGGTATTTGCATTGTTTCATCTCTTGCTTTTATGTCAGCTCTATTTTCCTCCTCTGTATTACTGCAAGAGGGGAAGAAGTAACAGAAACCATTACATTTCAGAGGCCATAAAAAAATTAAATTGTTTACCCCTAATAATACATGTTGGCAGAAATGGACAACAGATGCTCACCCAAGAAAAAATGGTTAAATTATTGCATCATCAGTAACTAATCTTTTCTAATAAGGTAGGATAGTAATTAGGATGTGTCCCCCTTTATATGTTGACCTGTATATTTAGTGCATATATCTAAAAAGATACATGAAAGGTTATTAGGTGTAGTGTTCACATTAGATAAATATATAATGAATGTAATACTGGCTTTAAATCTGCAGTCAATCCAGCCTTGCTGTGTTAGTCCAACATACCTTCCCAAGTATGAATTGTAGCATCAAAGATCATTGGTTGCTTTTAAAGTGTATTAAAAGTCAATTTTTCTCTTTTTATGGCTTAGTTAAATTGTCTGAGTAATTTGTACTTATGGAATTTCCTATAAATTAATGGTTAGCTATGGAATTGAAATGTCTAAAGTCAGTTTTTGGCATTTAGTTCCCAAAAGGTGTCTTATGGCGAGGCTTTTATTACTGCTTTTTATAAAGAGAGATGACAAAATGTACCTGTCGTCTTGATTCACTGTTTTCTAAGGCACCTTCTTCATCTTTGGAGAATGCTAGTTGGTGTTTTACTGTCTGGTGGAAGATAGCGTTTTCCTCTTTTACATTCTATCAAAATCATGGTGGGGAGGGAAATACTTTTTCTTTGAAGTGGCATTGATATTTAACTGCTGTATCTGGTTCATTTGGGATTTGGGTTTGCCTTTTTTTTTTTTTTCCTTGGATGATTGACTTCAGTCAGTGCACTTGACCTTTCAATGCATGTGACTTTAGAGTTAAATTTGTGATTGTACTGTATCTTTTCTACAGAAACAAATGTTTTACTACCTCATAGTAAAGCTTTTTTCATTCATAGCGGGGCAGAAGTGCTTCTAAGCTCAGATGGTTTGATAGAGTGGTCCTGGGCATGGCAGGGATGAGCCTTCATTGGTTTTCCTTTGAGGGAGAAGCACCAGGGATTCTTGGACCTACCACAAAGCTGTACTTGGAATGACTCTGTCCTCCCAGGCATCATGCTTTGCCCACTCAAGATGCTGCCAGGCTTTGGGATGCAATCCATAGGACCTTGCCATCCTTGATCTAGTGGCTGGGTTTTGCTAAATTTGGAGATGATGTCTGTTCTGGTGGAAATGGGAGGTTTCAGTATTCCTTTGTTTTGGATAAAAGTCATGATACATCTATCTGGTTGGCAGTCGTTCTGGGTATTAAATGGTGGCTCATTGAAACAACTCTTCAGAGAATCCCAAGGAGAAGTAACTCATAGCCTTGAGCAGGTCCTAAATTAAGATGCTAATAGATAATTTTAACAATGATTTCCATGCAGAAAAAAAAGAAATCAATGCAGCATTTAACTTCAAAATTCAGTGTCTGGTAAAAGAAAAACCAACAAAAAAAAACAGGTAAAAGGATAAATGCTTACAGGCAGCATGAGGGCTGCTTTAGAAATATAAGGCACTTTAAAATGCCTTTATGCTGCTGGTCAGAAATGATTCTAAAATGATCCAGAAAAGCAGCAGAGTAAATAGAGTATAAAAAGGTCATACTTAAAAAAAATAAAATAAAATAATCACAGTTTTGTTTTGGGAGAGTCAATGGAATGGAACTGAATTCTGATAAGTTAGTGTTTGACTGGCCTTATACTTTTTTTTTTTTTTCTATTGGAGAGAGAGCATTGTGTGAGTGAATGAATCTTAAAAATAACAACAAAACCCCCAAAACCAACCCAAAAATGGAAAGCTGCCTTAATTTTAGTAGGGCCAGTTGCCAGTTGAAGCTTGGAAAGGTAAGGCCAGAGCAGAAAAATCTGGTGACTATTGGTGTTTATTATTGCGTAAGGAACTAAGGACTCTCTCGCACATGAATCAATTCTTATTACTGAATGGGACCAAAGAATTGTCTCTCTGAAATGTAAATCAACAAAACAAATGTTCCCCAAAAATATCCCAGGACCAGAAGATATTTGTCTAGTGGATCTAAAGGAATTCTTTGGGGGTTTTGGGTGCAAAATTGCGGATTTATTTTCCATAGCCTCTGGCATAACTCATCTTCTGACTCTGAGAAATGGAGCACAGCAGCATTTTTTTAAAAGCTCTAGATTGAACCAGAGAGCTGTAGATCAGTAAGTTTAATTTAAGCAGACTCATAGCACTTGTAAGAAAGAGTGGACTAAATATGTCCCTGGGGAAATATAGTATTAACGAGGAGTTGGTAGAGTTTTCATAGATGGAAATCAAGAGAAATTGTTAGGCTATTTCGGAGGAGCCAGTGAGCTGGTGGGTCCAGGCAAAACTATTCATCAGGTTCCTTCGTCCGAGCCTTTAAAGTAAGCAAAAGAGGAAATACCCTCTTTTGGATCAAAATTATTTAGGAAAGAAGGGATGTTAATAGGTAAGAAACTGCCACGGTTGAGGGAGGGTTGATCTGTCATCTGTGCTCTTTAAATGTATTCATAAGTTATTTAGAAAACAGAGTGAATGGCAAATCATAACACTTACTCAGGATAGTAATCTTCCTGAGGTGTTTCAGGAAGCTCTTGTTAGGGTGAGAGCCTGGGCAGAGAAGTTGCAGGAGATGCTGCTCTGAGAAAGGTGGAGTAGACTCTACAAAGGGAAGGAAAATTCTTGCTTAAACGTAGAGGGCAGTGAACTTGGGAAAGAAATGCTGGAGTCTGTATGGATAATATTCTGAAAATGTTAGTGCAGTGGCACTAACCAGCTGATAGGAATTCACGGATTTTTAGAAGATCAATTTAGAAAAAAATAGAGTGCACCATCATGCTGTTATATCCTGTTATATGTCTATGTTCTGTCTTCAACAGCAGCATGTAATGGCAGCATCTCCTACAGGAGAGATGGGGAGGGACTCTTTATGAGGGAGTGGAGCAAT